CCCAAAATAAATAAATATAAAATAGATAAGACTCTGAGAGGGAGCCTGTAATCCCAGTCTTTTGGAGGCTGAGCAGGAGGATCAGGAGCTTGAGGCCAGCCTGGGTTACACTGTGAGTTTTAGGTCAGCCTGGGCTACATCATGACAAGACTTTGTCTGACCGCCCCCCCCACCACACAGACACACAGAGATACACACACATGCTGGGGGCATTTAGTATAGAGAGGGGAGGTAAGAGAGAGTTGGGTGGGGATACCTAGTAGACAAATAATGGTTGAGTGTCCATCCAATACCAGAGGGAGGACTCTTTAATCCAAGAAGCCACATCATCTGACAGGTGTAACTAAGTGTCACTTCATGGGGCCATGGAAGCTCAGAGAGGCAAATTTGCTTTCTCCGAAGCTTACTGGGAAGAGGAAAGATGTTCCAGGGTACCTAAGGCTGTACTCCAAGTGAAAGACACCCTATTTATCATTTTTACCCCAGAAGACTCTCTGCCCTGGAGCCCACGCAGGTTGGCGACACAGACCACCTTTGAGAAGGGACTGAGAGGACAGTGGGTCTTGGGGGTTACTCACCGTTCTCAGCAACAGTGTGTTGGGGCAGGAAGTGGAGGATAACAGCCATCAAGCAGAGGGCCACAGTTGACCGCCGCGACATCACAGCTGGGATGGATGTACCTGCCCTTCGATCTTGTTGGAAGCCGGCAGAATGACTGTGAGCCAGGGAACCCCAGAAATAAAAAGGGCCAGGAGACCTTTGGCCCTGGAGGTATTGAGGGCCTCCAGGCGGGGGGAAGGCTGTCAGTGTAAAAAGGACTCAATCTTAAAGCTTCCCTCATGACGAAGGGGGTGCGGGCCTGCTCCAGGCCAAAGGGCAGAGGGAGGGGCTCCCCTTCCCAGACAGACAAATGCATAGGTGCTCAGGTAATCATATTTATCACCCCCAATAGAGGGGTGGTGCCACAGCTACAGAGAAGGAACGAGAGGTGTCTCCAGCCCATCAGGGAGATTGACAGGACAGGCTGGCCCTAAGCAAGAGAGGAAAACACCTTAGATTTGACCCCATCCTCTGACAAGAATACCCCCTACTTCTCAGGCACCCTCTCTGTTCCATGGGTGTTCAGGGAAGTCATGGGGTACAAGTTACAGTCACATAACTTGTTAAGGGTCCAGTCCTGGGATAATCAGGGGTTCTTGAGTGTGTAGGTTCACGGTCGACACCCCTCACCCCCAATGCCACCTGGAGTGGCCTTACCTACTCTGATGGTCAGCAGAGCCAAGCACTCATTTCTCAACTTACTGGGGACTCCCATCACTCCATCACTGTTGAACCCAAAGTTTCCTGTCCCCAAGGCCTGCCTGAGCCTAGGCTTGTCTGTGGGCAGAGACTTCAGGCAGAAGTGGATCTGGCCCTGCCCTAGTTGGAGCAGGCAGGGGTTCAAGTGCTGGGACTGAAATGTTTGATTCTGGTAGGACTGTTCTCCCTAGGAAAGACAGGCCTCCTTCAACCCATCTCCTTCCAGCAACCCCTAGACCCAAGCCTGCAGGTCAGCTTCCAGAACAAGGAAGGAAAGAAAATTCTCTGATGTCATTCTGCATTAAAAAAATTGCTTTTATTGATAAGAAAATTCCAGAGTAGGGTGTCACCTAGATACAAACAAGGATGCTGAGGTGACCAGAAGTCTTGGGGTCCTGGAAGATAGAGGTGAGGGGGAAGAGGGGTGGGGCCTGGCTCACAGTCTGTCCTGGAGCGGTCATGGGGGGAGGGGAGAGGCTTGGGACCTGGTGTCAGCTTCCTTTTGAACCAACCGGGACACCGTAGTGTAGACTCTCTGGATTGGAGGGTCTGGGGGGGGTGGAGCCCCCTGTTCCTGTCATGGAGCTGATTTCACAACCTTGGGTCTCTGAAAATGAAGCTGTGGAGTAGGACAGACAGATAAAGTTAAGTGTGTGGGGGGGGTGGGCCAGGTTTGGGGGAACCCAGGAGTGGGAGGATGGGACAGCCCAGGATTGGGGGGACTTTTAGCTGCATCACCTCGATGTTGGGGTCCACATTCTGTAGGGTTGGCCGGAAGTGACAGTACCCTTTCTCAAGGCTGTATTTGTCTTCTTTTAGATTCTGGCCTGTAGAGAGAGGTGTGATATTAGAGGGGCTACAGAGGAGGCTGAGAGATATACAGGAGCAGGTGGAGTGTGTGTGTGTGTGTGTGTGTGTGTGTGTGTGTGTGTGTAGGAGTGTTCTAGGAAAATGAAGAAAATAGTTCTGTTATTAAACTCCTTAATGGAACCTTATAAGAGCCTGGAAGATGATCTAGGGTGGCAAGAGAGAGACAGACTAGCAACCCCACCCATCTTGCACTACGTGACAGTGGTCAAAGGTCATAGCCATGTGAGGGGGGATGGGCACTGCCACCAGTGTGAGATGATAATGCAGGTGGGATAGGAGGAAGCCATTGCGTCACATACCCCCTCCAGCCTTACCCCTTAGTGACAGTAACCACAGCAGATAGTCAAGCTCTGCCAGGAATCTTTCCTCTTCCCTGTCTTTGGCATGCAATATGCCACGTGCACTTCCTGAATCCAGCAAATCTTTCTGACCTCCTGGACTCTATTCAGGGCCTAGTGTTCCCTAAACACCCTGACTATCTCTCAGCTAACCCCTTTGGGTAACTCCTGTGATGTCTGCCCTTCTAGGTGTTTGGGGAAGGCCTGTTTCATCACCATCCTTGATTCCTACTCTCACCTTGTCCTACCTCAGACTCTGAGTGCCACCTTCAAACCGCAGACTCCCTTCCTTTCAGCACCCCGTCATGCCCCCCACCCCCAGTTAGTTCTCTCCTAGACGCCCAACTCAGGAATTAGCTACCATACTTCTGGGACAGCTAAGACACTCCAAGACGCTTTCCTGATCTCCCCTCAGCCTGCCAGCAACTCCAGCTTCCTTCCAAGCTGCCTCACCTGGCTACTTCTCTGTCCCTTGTCCCCTGAACCTTCCATCCTATCACCTGGTCCTCAACTTCCATGTTGTCCTCCTCAAATGCCCCTGAGTGAGCCACTCGAAACACATCCAAGCTGGGCTTGGTGGTGTGCACCTGTCCAGACAGCTACTTATAAGGTTGAGGCAGGAGGATTGTGAGTTTGAAGCCAGCCTGGGCTACACAGGAACCTCAAAGCCATCCTGGGCTAAATAGTGAGACCATGTTCCAAAAAAACGAAGCCACATACCCAGCTCTCTTCAATCAATGCACAATCACAGCTCCCTAAACCCAACAAGTCCTGGCTCTATCTGGTTCCTGTCACAGACCCTCTTTCTCCATCACCATTTATTTATTTATGTATTTATTTCTTTATTTTGAGGCGTGGTCTCATGCAGACCAGGCTGGCCTCGAACTTGCTATGCAACAGAGACCTTGAACTTGGTGCTCCTGCCTCTACCTCCCAAATGCTGGGGTTATAGGTATGTGCTACTATACCCAGCTTCCATGACTTTTCTCAGGTAATATCCCCTACCTAAGCATGTCCTTCCCCTGTCCACTGTAGGACTGTTTGAAAGAATAGCAAGCCAACCTCTGAGTCACTGCCTAGACTCAAGACTTAAATCAGAAGCCTTCAGTGACCCCTATCCACCCACCCCAGGCTGGGCCAGGCCTGTCTAGGCCTCCCATCATAACCTGGGCACCGCCTAGCATCCCACTCCAGAGTGACTATCTGACACCTTTGGCTCATAGGGTAGGAAATGACTCAGCCGTCCCTGCATCATCAGGGACAAGTTAGCCCATGAGGTACCAGAGGGAACTGGGAAGTTAGAAGCTGTGGGTGTGGAGGTGCACACCTGTAATCTCAGCACTTGGGAAGCTGAGGTGGGAGGATCGTGAGTTCTAGGCCTGCCTAGGCTACTTCACAGTTAGTTCGGAGCCAGCTTGGGTTACATAGTGAGAGCCTGTTTCACAATAAAACAAAGAACTGGGAAGTTTAAACTGGAGACATGCCTCAGTTGGTAAATTACTTGCCTCATAAGCACTAGGACCCTAGTTCAATCTCCAACACCCATGTAAAAAGCCGGACATGGCACATGCTTACAGGTGGGTCCCTGGGTCTCACTGGCCAGCCAGCCTAGCCTAATCTGTGAGCCCCAGGTCCCAGTGAGAGATCTTATCTCAAAATAAAAAGTTATAAGATTCCTAAGGAATAATACTTGTGATTGACTCTGGCCTCTCGATGCATGTGCAGATGTGTGCATTTACACACATACACACACATATACACAAAGACACACACACACACACACAAGAACTGGGTAGGTAAGAAGTCTGGGCTTGCTTAGGGCAGAGATTGAGCAGAGGCAGCCATACCATTTGGGGGAGGAATTTACACAGGGAGAGACTTGGGCAGGCCCAGCACCTGAGGGGTAGACCCCTGAGTAACTCAGAGTCCAGAGGAGACTGGAGGACAAAGTGGGGGATTCCTGGAGATGGACAGGGTCTTAAGTAGGTTTTGGAAACAGTAAATCTGGGACTGGCAGAGTTAGTGAGGAATGGAACCTTCTAGATAGTGGTATGATGAATACAAAGGCTGGGAAGAGAGAAAATGGTAGGTATATGTCCTGAGAACTTGATGGAGGCAAACTAAATAAAGACTGAGGGTCAGGCTGGCAAGATGGTTCAGTGGGTGCTTGCTGCCAAGCCTGATGACCTGAGTTCAATCCCATGGTGAAAGGAGAGAACAGATTCCTGAAAGTTGTTCTCTGACCTCCACATAGGTATCGTAGTACAGACATACCTCCTCTCACTAAATAAATAAATGCAATTTTAGAAAGAAGATGGGGGGGGTTCAGTGAGGGGTCTGAGCTATCACTATGGCTACATCGATATAGCAGAAGCCATGTCACACCCTCAAAGCCAGGGTACCTCTCCTGCCCCAGTCCTTGCCCTGGTGACAGTTGGTTACCTTCCCAGATGCCCATGTTCTGAAAGACTCCAGGAAGACCGTCTCTCTGCCATTCTTGAGTAGGGTCATACTTTTGCCTGCGAACAGTTGTCGTATCATGAGTGAACAGCTGAAGGTGGGAGGTGGCAGAGGGGACTCAATGGGCCCTGCCCCTGTGGGGGACTGTCACGTCCCTCCCCCTTCAAAATGATGGCATGGGGTAGACTACAGTCACCCTGGCTTTTCCACTCTTCCAAGGGCAGTGTGGCCTGCCTTCCCAGATGTCTCTCAGCAAACCGCCCCCACAGTAGGCCCCAGTCTCCTTGGGTGTGAAATGAGGGCATTACAATAGCTTCTTGGACTGCCCGCTTCTGGTCAGCTATTCTAAGGGGTACTTCTCTGTTTTTAAAGGCATATCTCCCCCACATTTGAGCCACCTATGGCTCTGTCACAGCTTCCTTGTTATGGTGGCATTGCTCTGAGGCACTCCAGGTCATAAAACACAGCTTTACTATATAATCTAAGTTTCTGTTTCCATTTCTCAAACAGATATTCTATCAGTTCAGAAAGCCACATTTGTGCTTGGGATGTCCAGGGGTGGGTGGGGCTGGGCATTCTGTCTGGCCTCAGCTAGAAGGAATGGAGTTGTTGGGGGGCTCATTCCTAGCTCCTCATGGGTCCCCTATACCTGTGCCTGTGGCAGCTGGCCTCAGAAACTCACCTGTGCAGTTT